GTCAAGTTCTGGTATAAATGCTAAACTCATGCCATGAAAATAATTTTGAAGTTTCCTCTATTTTTCTATACTTTGGAATGTTTTAAGTACTTTGAAAGTCTCCAATCTTTAAAAGGTTTGTTAAAATCCCTGTGAGAAACCATCTGGGTCTCGTGCTTTTCCGCAAGGAAATTCTGTTGTAAATTTCTCTCTTTCTTTTGTAGCCTTGTTCTGTTTATTATACAGAAATTAAGAAAACATGTAAAAGAATGTTATGGACAACACTATGCCAATGAATTTGATAACTTAGATGAAATAAAAATATTCCTCGAAAGGCATCAATTATCAAAGGTGACTCAAGAAAAATATTGAATGTCTGGATAGACTTATTACAAGTAAAGAAATAGAATGAGTTAATAACATCTTATAGAGCAGAGATCAGCAAAATTTTCTGTAAGGGGCTAGATAATAAATATTTTAGGCTTCGTGGGCCATGTGCAGCTTCCATTGCTGCCTCTGCTGCTGCTTCTTCCTCTTCTTTTTACAACACTTTTAAAAGTGAAAAACTCATTCTTAGTTCATGGGCCACACAAATAGAGGCTATGGTCTGGATTTAGCATGTGCACTATTGTTTGTCATTCCATGTCATAGAGAAAAGCTCAAGACCAGCTTGCCTCACTGGTAAATTCTATCAAATATTTAAATAATAACAAATACCCTTCTACACAAAAACTTTCACAAAATAGAGAAGAAAATTTCACAATTCGTTTTATCAGGCTGGCATTACCCTAATTGCAAACACAAAGAAATCACAAGAACACTACAAACCAATATTTCTATGGATGCAGGTGCAAAAAATCCTCTATAAAATATTGGCAAACCTAATCCCAAAATACATAAAAGAAGATTATATACCATGACCAAGAAAGATTTATCCCATGAATGCAAGATTGGCTTAGCATCCAAAACTAAGTAATATAATACACTATATTAATAGAATAAAGGCTGTACCATATTATCATCTCAGTAGTAGCAGAAAAAGAAATTTGGCATAAAATAGAACCCAATCATGATAAAAACTCTCAACAAATTATGAACAGACAGAACTTCCTCAACCTGATAAAGGGAATGAGTAAAATATCCACCTTAACAGTGAAGCTTGAAAAGACTGAGTGCTTTGCTTTTAATATTGATAGCCAGGTAAGGGTGTCTATTCCCACTATTTTTATTCAACATTGTGCTGGAGATACTAGCTAGTGCAATCAGATGAGGAATTGAAAGAAAAGCCATCCAGATTGGAAAGGAAGAAGTAAAACTGTCTTTATTCTCAGACTACATAATTCTGTATGTACAAAATCCTACAACATTTATAAAGAAACTTCTAGAACTAATAAATGAGTTTAGCAAGGCTTCAGGATACAATATCTATACACAAAAATCAAATGTGTTTCTGTGTACTAGCAATAAGTAATCCAAAAATAAAATTAAGAAAAAAAATCTTTTCACAATTGCATCCTAAAGGATAGTACTTCTCAGTGTGTTAAAAGAAATGCAAGATCTTTACATGGAAAAATATAAAAAGTTAAGAGAAATTAAAGGAGATCTAAATAAATAGAAAAGCATTCCATGATCATGGAGGACTGACTATGGTTAAGATGGAAATTCTCCCCAGATTTACCAATGGAGTCCCTATCAAAATTTCACCAGGATATTTTGGAGAGATTGACAGGCTGATATTAAATTTATATGGGAATGCAAGAGATCTGACTATCAAAGCAATTTTGAAAAAGAAAGACACAGTTGGAGGAGTTACACTAGTCAATTATGAAACAGTATAAAACAATAATAATCAAGAGAATGGGATATTAACATAGGATAGACATATAAATTAAGGGAACAGAAGACAAAGTCCAGACATAAATCCTTCACTTATGGTTTTGAGAAAGATGATAAGTCAATTCAATGGGATAAAGATATTCTTTTCATCAAATAGTGCAGGGATAGCCGTGTGTAATAATGATAATAATAATAACAATAGTAATAATGAACGTGTATCATTACTGTTCACCACATACAAAAATTATTCAAAAAATGCCATTCACCTAGGTATAAGAGCTAAAACTATAAAAACTCTAGAAAGAAATTCTTATGACCTAGGGTTAGATGAGTATTTCTTAAATATGATATGAAAAGCACGATCTATAAGACAGAAATTCATAAATTGGACTTCATCAAAATTAAAAATGTTTGCTCTTCAAAGACACCCATTAAGAAAATGAAAAGACAAAATATAGACAGGGAGAGAACATTTGAAAGTCATATATGTGATAAAGAACTCTTAAAACTCAATAAAGAAGAAAAAAAAAAACCCCAGAAATGAAAATCTGTAATCTCACAAAGACCTGTGTATGAATGTTCACAGCTGCATTATTCATAATAGCCAAAAACTGGGACAATCCAGATGTCCAATAACTGGTAAATGGATAAACAAAATGTGATACATCTATACAATGTGATAATTTTTTTGTAATAAAAATATAAGAAATTATTGAATTATGCTACAACATGGATGAACTCCTAAAATATTAGGCAAACTGAAAGAAGTCTGATACAAAAGATTACATACTGTGATAATCTACTTATCTGAATTTTCCAGAAAAATCAAATCTATAGAGACAAAGAGTAGATAAGTGGTTGCCTGAGGTGGGCACGTGACCATTCCAGGGAATGACTCCTCAAGGGCAGGTGCGATCTCTTAGAGGTGATGGAAATGTTTTAAAATGGATTGGGAAGATGACTGTATGACTTGGTAAATTTACTATAAATCATTGAACTGGACCCTTACAATGGGTGAATTTTAAGGCATGTCAATTATACTTCAATAAAACTGTATAAAATGAGCAATAGCTGCTGTTTTTAATAATAAAGTGAGATTTGGTTTAGGGCGTATATAAAGTGGTAGCTGTTGACTTGAACATCTCATTTATTTCTTTGCCCTGAATCCAACAGTTCACCAGGTGTCTGTTCAGGAAGCATTCAATATCATCTGCACCAGAGACAAAACTAGAAATTCCTCCCATCAGACTATGGTGAGAATTTTATTGCCTCAGCATCCAGCAGCACACCCAACAATACCCAGCAGGAGTGACATCCATCCATGCTCAGAGACTTTGCTTTGTTTTGTCTGTCTGATTTATACCATATGACCATTCTTGTTCAAAATGTCTCAGAAAAACCGTCAGCCCAAAGAAGCTATCCCATGGAAAATAAGGTGGATAGTGATGAGGGAAGCCTTCCATACCACTATTTGGAATTCAAGGCTGAACTGAAATAGATTAAGACTTCTCGTGTCAGGACAGTGGTTAATGAAACTGTGGAAGTCAGCCCTGCAGACAAGAAGAGCAGACCACTGAAGGTAAAGGGGTAGCATGAGCAAAGGCACAGATAGGTAAGAGAGGGTCAGAGAGTGTCAGTTCCGTCATGCTGGAATAAAAAACAGTGAGGATGAGGGGATAGAAGCTGGGCTAGAGTTCCAGAGCTCAGGTCATGAAATACCTTTGTGTCAGGTTAAGAAATCTGAGTTTTATCTTGAATGTGAAGGAGAAGTACAGAAAAATTATGAGAGGGTCAGTAGAATGATCAGATTTCTGTATTATGCGTATCACCAGAGTGGCAATGAGGAAGAAAAACCGGAAGAGGCCAAGAGGTAGGTAAGAAAGATTCTTTAATCCTCCAGGCATCTAGTAAGGACACTTGACCATAGGAGACGGTTCTCCCTGATCTCAGCACATGGCGGTGCCTACAACAGAGGGTGATGAACTCTGTCGGGAAGAAGTTGAGCTGAGGAACCTATGAATTAGGAAGGTGGAAATATCTAGAAGGTGGTTCAGACAACTAGTATGGAAGTAATGAGAGATGTAATTCAGAGTCCAGAGTGCTAACCATTACACAAGGGGGCAAGACGTAATTCAAATACTGGATTGGATGATATTATCTAATGTGCATGTGTAGATAGAGAAGAAAAGAAGAAAAAATCTGGAAATCAGGGTAAAATAAGGCAGAGAAGAAGGGAAAGAGCCACAAAGAAGACTGCAAAGGAGTTGGTGCAAGACAGAGGTTTCACATTTGAGCCCAGCAGCCACCTCTTCTCAGGAGACATAGGGCCCCATAGCTAACAGTTGCGCTTTTGTCCATTGCCTGTGCAACAGCAGATCTAGTCAAAGTCCCAGGTCTAGCCTCATGTGGATGGAGACAAACATCTCTAAGATTTCTTGTATTCAAGTAAGAAGAAGCATCCATCTGTGGAATAGCTTCCCAAAGGTCAGGGTAGTCTCCAAAGGGATCCAGGGCTGAATACAGGGAAGTTGTTGAAAGGTTTTCTTTGCAACCACAGTTTCTGTTCTTTATATCTCATGTAGATTTAGTTTAAATTTCATTAATTTAGAGGTAGAATAGCGAAAATAATCAGCTCAGGTCCTTCTATTATTCATGCTCAGTCATGGAATGAGGACCCGAAATTTTCAGAAGAGAGATTGGGCTTGGGAAAGTAAAGGGACTTTGAGACGCTGTGTGTGAAGTAACTAGTTTTATGCGAGGACAGAATCATTAACCAGAGATAGAGACAGCCTGTGGAGAAGGCCACAGGAAACTTGTGCTGTTTCTTAGCTGGCAAAATCTCTCCTGCTGGTTGCCATAAGGCAACTGTCAAATAACATCCCACTTATCTTGAGAACACAGATTTGTGCAAGCCTCAACTGGACATTGTAGTTAGATGCAGGGGAGAAGTCAGATGCAGGAGAGATGTGACTGTGGGCTGGGTCATTCCCTAGCTTGGTAGAGACTGATCCAGGGATAGTTTTCTGCCCGTATTTTTGCTCAGACCACATTGACCCCTCAGAGCTGAGAAGTCTGGGGAGATTTACAGTGGCTTCTGTAGTTTAAGATGAGTTTGTGAATGTGGGACTTCCTCATCTTTGTGACTACCCTTTTTGTGCAGGCTGTAGATGTCTGTGTAGCGCTGTGTATTAACTGCTGGCACAGAGGTATAGAGATGTCTGTGAGGGGCTGGCAGACTCTAGCGTTAGAGGAAAATGCTCCTTCCTGAGTCTGGAGACAGTTGACCCAGAGGAGAACTCTTCTTTCTCTGTGGTATTAACACCATATGAATAATGAAGCAGCTGTAGTTCCCTCCCTGCATCTTGTCGGTACCAGTACATATTGTCATGGTTCATGGTTTGAGAACATTCCAGAGTAATCTTCTTTCCTGTCCCTGCAATACAATGTTTTGGGGTCTGGGAGACATCAGCATCCATGAGGCCTGAGAGAAAGAAGACAAAAATTGGCAGTAGAGTCCAGGATAGACCTTAATGCTGGAGCCAGGAGCAAACCCAGCACGGGGAAAATGTTCCTTCCTGACTTTAGAGAAATCTGTGTCTATGACTTACCTGCCCTCAGAAGGTAAAGGGCCACATAGCAGAGGAGCCTGACAGCCATGGCACACCCAGGGTGAGAAGGGTGTCTCTCAGTTCTGGGGAAGTGGGATGGGCTCTTAATGAAGTCATTGTGTGACGACACAGTCCCTATAAAGTTTCTGGGAGCCACAGCCATCCTGTTGATATAGTACTGTCATCTATATCCCTTTATCTATCAAAGGACGATATTTTTGCTCACTTCTCTCATTCAAAGTAGAGTAGATACTTTGCTTATTTATCTTAACTTGAATCTCTACTCGTTTTACAAAACATTAAATTGCACCTGTTTTACAGGCTATGAAGATGAGGTTTGCAGAGCTTTGAAAGCCTATGATAGGAGAACTTGACCTAATTAAGAAGGTTGGGAAAGAAAGAGATGTTTGAGGTGAGTTCTGAGGGATGAATTGGAATGAACTCTGCAAAGCTGAGAGAGAAGGGCATTCAAAAGAAGGACCCAGAGAACCGAGTGCCTCAATCAGGGCGCAGGATAGCATGTTGTGAGGATTAAATGGGGCACTCTATTTAGATAACACATGTGAAGGGCTTAACGCAGTAACTGGAATTCACTGAGTTCTCAGAAAATGCCTGTTGTTATTGTGTGGTTATCAGTTTTATTCTCTCCTATTTGGTGTTCAGATTTTACAAACTTTATCAACTTAGGCTTCATGATATTAGGTTCATCTTTCTTTTAACTGCACCACCAATCATGCCAGACCAGAAAATTCAGACCCGCAGTTTTTTCCAGTACATACTTTGGTAATATTGGCTAAAAATTTTGGGGTGCTGCCATAGGAAACAACATCCAAACCAAGTACTATCCTGTCTCCTCTCTTTTCCTCATTTCCTCTCAACAGAAAAATGTGTAGCTTTGATTGTGAGTCACAAAAACTAATCCCAGTATCCCTTCCCAGTTTGTCTGCTTCCTTGGCCCTAGTTCATTAGCATCCGGTTGATATTCAATACAATTCTCTTACATGCTGCTGACCTGGGGTTTCGAATTTTGACTATTAAGGCTCCATTATTTGAGGATCGCCTTTCAGTCTTTATGTATTCTATATGTAACACCTGAGGGCTCCTGCTCACTCTTGCTTTCTCATATATCCTGAAAGAATATAACAATTATGACTTACCAAACCCTGAAATACTCTTGTCCCATTAAGGGCTCCTTTAAGATAAGGGTAGGTAATCGTTAAAATCATTAATGACATGTGGACTTTGCTTTTACTATGAAAGCTGGTCTTACTTTAATAGAAACTGTTGAGGGAAAAAATAAATGAAATTCTACTGCCCCCTGCTGAACAAAGGTGAAATGGGTGAATAGACACTTAAGAGATTTAGGAAGAGTCTTTCTGATGAATTTTACAGAAACAGGAAAGAGAGAGGCTCCCAGTCGTTCTAAGTATAAGAAGATTTAAGGATGAGTGAAGACTTGACGAAATTCCTCAGCAGTGACTGGATGTAGAATCCATATCTCACAGTAGAAGTGATTAAAGAAAGAGGGAAGAATGAAATGGATAGATCTTGGATTTGGAGTAGATATGAGAGAGGCTCAGGTCCTACTTAGATGAAGCGGTACTTGAAGGCAGAGATAAACTGTCCATGCAAGAATAACTCATGCATGGCCCATCTTTCTGGTATAGCAAGAGAAGTTTCTGGAGCAGATGCTGAGAATTTCTAAATGTCAACAATTAAGGATACAGGAATGATCAGAGATAATTGTTACATACATCTCTGCACATTTTTGGTCCTCTCTCACTGGAGCTTCCTTGATTCTCAGGACCTGTAGTCCTTCCAGTCTCCATGAAGTTTGTAGAAGAAAGACATACCAATGAGGACAAGAGACAAAATGGAGTTTTAATATTCAGCCAGGATGGAAAGACCTGGAACCAGAGTGGGGCAATGCTGGGTTAAAACTTCATATCTCGGCAAAGGACTCACCTGTTTTTAGAGGAGGCAGAGGGAAGAAAGGTGGAGGGTCCTGGTTTCCGGAACGGAGATAGATCTCTTCTAGCTCAGGGCTCTGGTTCTATGTGGAAGTGAGACGCTCTCTGAGGTTTAATCTGCCATGCCAAGAATAGTGTGTGATGTTGAGGTTCCTATGTATTATCACAGGATAGAGTTCAGCTCTAGAGAATCACAGACACCGATTTTGGAGCATGGGAGTTGAGCTTTTATGTAATGACTCATGTGTCTGGATCCCACACATAAAAGCCTTTTATGAGCTTCAATATCATGTTCTCAACTGTACTATACTAGCATTTGGAAGTCCCAAAGGACCTCAAATAGAGCATAACTCACCATCCTTGCTCCATCCTTGCTCTGTTTCTTTGCCTCTAATACCAAAACTGGAACTCTGGGCATGAACTTAACATATTAAATATTAATTATTCCAACTAAAACTATTTTTAAACCCATCCCCATATATAAGTATGTGGTTTGTGTTAAAAATTCAAACAAAAAATATTCACATGCATATACACACATACACATAATATACATATACATATATGTATACGTACATAACCTCTTTTATATGTCCTCTGTTTCAAATCTCAAACTCCATTAGGGAGGACAGCTTTTATTTCCCTTGAAACCTTCTCCATTTTCACATGCACGTCTGGGGTTATGGTTCACTTTGCCTGGTTCTCAGTCAATCACATTATCATCAGATAGCGATTATGACGTATGTCTCTATATGTTTTCGGTCCAGTAAAACACCCTCTCTCATTTTCCAATCTTTTTAGTCTTCCTATAGCATTATGCTTAACCAAACATATTTTCTTTCTTTTAAAAGGACTTTCAGGTTGTGGTATGGAGGTCTTAAATAAACACACACCAGAACTCAGCAAACATGTTACTTGGAAGAAAATCCTGGAGAACTACTTGAAGACATGCTTGAGTTTATTTTCCTTTCCTCCCTCCCTCCACCTCTCCTTCCCTTCCTTTCTTCCTTCTATCTTTCCTTCACTAAGTCAGACATTGTATTCAGTTCCAGGGATATAAAATTGGAGGGACACACTCTTAAACTAAAGAATATAATATAGTCTTGGGAAGAGTCAATGTAAAAAGAATTATGAAAGAATACAATAACTATAGTAGTTTTGGAATGAATAAGAGCTGAGTCTTCTCCATCTATAGGAGCCAGAGAAGCCTTTATAGATAAACTAATCTTTGAGCTAAGAATGAAAAGATGTGCAAGAGTAAACCAGGCAGTCAAGAAGCAGTAACCCACTTCAGACAGCAGAAAGAGGGTTTGCAAAGCTACAGCTGTGTGGTTTGGCTTGGCCTTTTCAGAGAAATAGAAAATGTTCGGTCAAACTAGAGTCTGAAGTGCTGGAGTGAATTTGGGAGGTTGGTCCATATTTTTAGGCAGAGACCTGTGCATGAAGGGCTTTGTGTGCCACGTGAAGAATGTCAGACTCGATCAGTCCTGTTACAATGACTAAGACAGAGGAAAGCAGATGAAGTAAGAGGCTGGTGGACACTTTTTTTCTAGGTAATGGGTGATGAGAACCTGCACTAAAGTAGAGACAACAAGGAAGGAAAGGAGCAGCTGAATCAGATAAACATATGTATGGGAAACTGTGCCGTGTCTCCTGTCTCTCCCTCTAGGCAGGAAGGATGTTTTCCCTCATTTGCTGGGAGTGCTTCTGGCTGACAGCTCTCTGCATGAATTGCCTTGGCTAAAGGACACCTCTTCCAAAGAACTTGAAAACATCAGTGCATAAAGATACATGCACCCCTGTGTTCATTGCAGCATTATTCACAATAGCCAAGACTTGGAAGCAACCTAAGTGTCCATCAAGGGATGAATGGATAAAGAAGATGTGGTATATGTACACAATGGAATACTACTCAGCCATAAGAAATGATGAAATCCAGCCATTTGTGACAACATGGATGGACATTGAGGGTATTATGCAAAGTGAAATAAGTCAGAGGCAGACGGTCATATACCGTATGATTTCCTTCATTAAGTAGTAGATAATAACAACAATAAACAAACACATAGAGACAGAGATTGGATTGGTGGTTACCAGAGGGGAAGTGGGGAGGGAGGAGGGCGAAAGGGATAATTCGGCACATGTGTGTGGTGATGGGTTGTAATTAGTCTTTGGGTGGTGAACATGATGTAATCTATGCAGAAATAGAAGTATAATGATGTAAACCTGGAATTTATACAATGTTATAAACCAATGTTACTGCAATAAACAAAAAATTAAAAATAAATAAAATAAAATAAAATAAACTAAAAAAGGACACCTCTTCCCCCAACAAGGGCGTGCCCCTTCTTAGGGCCACCCATGCCCAATAACACAGTTGCGAGGAAAGTGAGTATAGGACCTGGCCCCTTCTCTTCAACTTCGATGATTCTAAGGGCATCCAGCTTCAGAGCTCCCTGTGGGCTTGATGAGGCCTTTCTTTAGGCTGCAGGAGAGCCCAGCTTCTCCCTCTGCCCCATCCTAATTCCTTCTTTTCCCTTCTAATTGTGTTGATTGCGAGGGCATTTTCTAATAACATTCCCTCACACTAATCTCTCTTCCAATGTCCGTTTTCCAGAAAACCAAACCTATGACAATGTGGGATATTGAAGTAATAGATTTGTAAATGGATTTAACATGAGGACTAATGGAAACGAGTAATGTAGAATGATTGTCCAACCACTGAGACAGAAATACAGTATACGGACCAGAATGGGTGCATGTAAAGGTGGGGAGACTACAAATTCTACAATAAATTATTTGAATTTGAATCGTGGAGTATCCAGCTGGAAGTGCCCAGTAGATAGTTATGGACTTATGAAAAAAATTGTCCTATCATGGATGGAAAGGTTAAGGAAGAGTATTTACACTGAGGGAAAAAAGAAGGCAAAAAAAAAAGTCCAGGAAAATCTACTAGAAATGTCCAGTAGACAATTAAATGGAACAGTTAATAGCTTAGGGGAGAAGAATTATTATTAGAGATGAGACTATTGATGAAATGTGCGTAGAAAGCAGGAGACAAAACATTGAAAACTGATTTTTTAAATGATAAGATAGAACTCTTAAGAGACTG